CAGGCCGTTGGCTCACAGGCTGTGGAGGCTGATGAATCCCAAGATTGGCAGGTAAGCTGCTAGCTCAGATCCCAAGAACCAAAGGTCAGATGAACAGAAGCCAGCTGCAGAATCCAGAGCAAGCAAAAGCCAGTGAGCTTGGCCAGAAAGTCCACCTATATTGGATGCAGGCCATACCCCCAAAGAAACCCCCTTTCAACTGACTGACTGCTCATAACAGATCATATCAGATTTCATTATGGAGGTGGTTACATCATTACATAGCTGCCAAACTACATAACTGCCAAACCACAGAATCATGGCCCAGCCAAGTTGACACACAACCTTAATCATCACACATGTGCATGCACATAACCCCTCACAGACGTGTATCCATGTGCAGGCACCCATACACGTGCCCACACACTCATAGGCGTGTACACTCGTATGTGCACACACACACATTATGCATGCTCATTTATCGTGCACACGTACACATACATGTTCATGCACACATCTGCACGCACCCACACACGTAACACATGCACATGTGCACTCATGTACACATTCATGTGCATGTGTACACGTGGGCACACACTCATACACATCATGCACATGCACCCATACACATGCATATATGCACACAAACACCCCACCACCACCAGCCAGGGGCACCTGGAGCAAGCCAGACACCTCCCATGTGGGGATTCCCCTCATGCCTCCCCACATCACCAAATGGCAAAAACCCAGGAGTCTTCTGTGTAAGGAGAAGTAACGTGTGAATTTTTCAGACTCATTTTGTGCATTTAATGCCAACTGTGAAAAAAGCAGTAATTTCACCGTGAACATCTTTAAGGTAAAAACACACAGCTAAAGGGAAATAGGGGAATGGTACCTGCCTTCTTGATGTGTTCGGGGATCAAAGGAAGCCTGCCCGAAAAAGGGCTTCCTTCTGAAGCCCAGCCCCTAGGCACTGGCTTCAGCTCTGCAGGACTCCCCATGCTCAGACAGACCCTGGGCCTTGGCCATACCAGCCTCAGCCACACCCCTTCCCGCACTCTCCTAGGCTCTCACAAGCCCCATCCTGTCCCTCTATGGCTCCTGCTGACCCCTCTGCCTGACACACACTCCCCATCTTCATGGTCCAAGACCCACCCCCTCAGTGTCCAGCTCACTGCCTTCCCCTCCAAGGGGCCTCCTGAGCACATGTTGGGCATCCCCCCTCCCCACACCACCCACCCCAGTGCAAGGTAGAAGTGTCCGCAAGCTTGGTGGGGCACCATCAACCCCTCCCATTCCTCTATGGCACCTGAACAGTGTGGGGCATGAAGAAGGCATGGCAGAGTGGATAAGGTCACAACAGGTGGCCACTGGAAGAAGCCTGCGTGAGGGTGGCTGTCCACAGTCACACATGCGCTCAGCATAAGCAGAGAGCCCCATGAGACCTGCTGGAGTTGGTGAGAGGTCCGGGGCAGCTGGGCCTAGGGCCCTCAGTCATGTTCCACCGCCACATAGCTCATGGGGTACCACTCTCCTCCCCTGTGTGTGGTCACCCAAGATGGCACAATGGGGTGATGACCATAGTCACCATGACCCCGGTCTCCTTCAGTGACAGGTCACTGTGAGCTGGGCCCTTCGCAGGGCCATTACACATTCATCTGAGCTCATCCCACACTCCTAGGAGGCAGAGACACTGAGAGGTTACACAGCACTGACTCCACCCTGCCAACACCCCAAAGGGCTCTCCACTTTACTAATCCCACCTGTAACTGGCCATCCCCATCCACTCAGGACCATCATGAATACCTCCAGAAGGCTGAGAAAGGCTGCCCACCCCAAGAAGGGGCATGGAGAGGTGTTGGGAGTGTGGTTCCCTCTGCTGGAGAAGGTGGTGCGGGGGGTGGGGAGTGGAAGAAGGGGAGGTATTCAGGCACGTCACAAAGTGGGCAGAGGTTTTAGGTGGTGGGCGGCCTCCTCTGCCAAGTCCAGGGAAGAGGGCAACTTCCCACCCAACACTATCATGCTGAGGAAGTCCCTGGGGCTCCAGCGCATCCCATCCTGAAACAGGCTGCCCCTGCCCTGCCAAACAAGTGGTACTTAGGCCACAGGTCCTGCCATGCCCCCTGCTGGTCACTCTGGGAAATCACACAGCAATGCTGACCTGGCCAGGATGTGGATGGAAGGCCTTAGAAACATTTCCCCACAGATATCCTGTTTTACAGATGGAGAAACTGAGGCACAGGAGCTGGGACAGAGAAAGTGCCCAGTATGTATTTGTTGAATGAAGGGCATTTGTTGAATGAAGGAAAGAGCAAGTGAGTTCACTGTAGCCAGAAAACAACTAACAAATGATCCTTAAAAGTATGATGTAACCAGTTGCCATGGGGGCAACCTCGACTCATGGCAACCCCTATGGCCAGAGTAATACTATGCACCATAGGATTCTCAGTGACCGATCTTTCAGAAGTAGATATTCAGGCCTTTCTTCCAAGGTGCCTCTGGGTGGACTTGAACCTCTAAACTTTTGTTAGCAGCTGAGCGCATTCACCATTTGCACCACCCAGGGGCCCTAGATTTACCATAGAGCTTTAGTAATTAGGATAGTGCTGAAGTGGCAAGGGCCATACCAGAAGCCCTCACACCAAACACACTCAAAACAAATGCACAAACATCCATTCCAGGTGCCTGCACACCTAAGTGTGAAACATAAAATGCTTAAACTTTTTGAAGAAAATACAGCAGAATATATGTATTTGAGCTAGATGTAGAGGAGACTTCTCATAAACAGCACACACAAAAAGCACATTTATGTGAAAAGACGCTGGACCAATAAATAAAGTGAAAAGCCACACAATAGCCCAGGAAATGATATTTGCAGTGTATATCTCTAATGTACATATCTGATGATTACAATGGATATACCCAACTCAACCAAGGGTTGTAACCCAGGATAAATGGAACATTCCCTCAAATCAATAAGAAGTGGGACAACCACTTGGTAGACAAAACAGGCCCAGGCCCTCCAGAGGACCAGACCACCTCTCCAGACACAAGGACAGCAAAGCAAAGCAACAAGGAAGCCTCCTGAGTCCCCTCAGGCTGCTGTCCAGGACTTAGGCCAGGGGGCTGATGGAGGGCGGGGAGGGGAGCATTTGGCAACAACCAGTAAAGCTGAAGTTGTGTGCTCCTGTGTTCTGTGATGCCGACGCCCAGCAGAAGCCCTGGAGGAGCTCCTATATGTGTACCAATGACACCTGATCAAAAATGTGCACAGGAACAGGAACTACCTATCTGCAGGGGGACAAGGGTATCACAACACATTCCAACAAAGGAGAAGCACATAGGCAGCAGTTAAAATGAAAGGGCTGTAACATGGATAAACCCCAAACGTATAACGTTACATTTCTGAAGCAGAAGAAAGACACAAACAGCACAATACATTTGTTGTTGTTGCTGTAGTTGCCTTAAAGTCAATTTTGACTTATGGCAACATTTACACAATTTTAAAACATGCAAAGCAATATATGTATGTTTCGTCTACATATGATTGCATGTATAGTAAAATACAGAGACATGCTTTGAGGATTAAAAACAAAACTCATTGTCATCGAGTCAATTCCAACTCATGATGACCCCATGCATTACAGAGTAGAACTGCTCCATAGGGTTTTCTTGGCTATAATCTTTATGGAAGTAGATTGCCAGGCCTTTCTTCCATAGCACCACTGGGTAGGTTTGAACCACCAACCTTCAAGCTAGTAGTCAAGTACAAACTGTTTGCACCATGCAGGGATATTACATTAGGGGCATGATCACCAAATTTGGGCTCAAGTGAGGGCAGGAGGAAGAGTTCTAAGTGGGGGAGGTTCATGGGTGATTGGACTATATCTGTGATTTTGTTAACAAAAATCTCAAGCAAATATGAAACACATTAGAATGTTCAGCTTTGGCAAAGCTGGGTGCTGGTACCCGGTATTCAGTATCATCACCGCTCGACTTCTCTGAGTACTTCGACTCAGTCACAGTAACTTTATGAGTCCTGGGTAAGAGCAACAAGGTCTGCTCTCCACACCTCAACAATGAGTGCCCAGCTCCAGCCCACTCTCAGGTTGCGCACTGAGCATCCTAGACATTCCAACCTGGCGGCACCGGAGACTCACCTGGGGAGCTTAGTTTGAGAACATTTTAAGACCCCCAGGGTTTCCAGTGTCTGGCCCGGAGTACTCCCCAACACCCACAGCCCAGCCCAGCTAAGGAAGACACATCTCCCCACCGGGCAGCACACCCAGGCCCTCAGGGGCTTGCTCCCCCACCAGCCTCTCTGCACCTGGGGACTGGAAACCTGGCCTGAGTGTTTGCGGCACACCTTGTGCTGGGTGAGCATTTCCTCACCTCATCCTCACTTCATGCCTGCTTTACAGTTGAGGAGCTCCCTCGCCAAGGGGCACACAGGGGGTGACAGAGGCATAGCAACGGGGGTTAGAGGGGTGCATTTGCCCCCAGGCAAAAGTCCAAGGGGGGGCCAGATGAGGCCAGCCAGAGAATCATCCCTGCCAATTGACTGGGGGGGTGGGTGCAAACATACAGATTGCCCCTGGGTGCTCATTACCTCGCTACACCTCTGGGGGGCCATGGGGACAGAGGCAGCCCAGGCTGTCTGACTGCTGGGCTACCACATCCGTTTGTCCACCTTTAACTTAAGGCACCCCCTTCACGGCCCCACATCACACTTCCTGGACTAAGCACTTCCTTTAAACTGCTCACAGCATCATGAGACAGGGCAGATGTTACCCTTGAACTGCGGTCGGTAGGGGACTGTCACCCTGGACTCCACATCTAATTAGCAGGAGTGGGACGTTGCAGGCCCTCAGTGACATCTGCATGACATCACCTTTGGAACAGACCTTCTTTATACCGTAAAGGCATGCTAGGGACTCTGATCTGCAGCACGGAACAAATCTGAGAGAAGACCACAAAGCAACCACACGAGCAGTAGATCTGTGGGCCAGCCACAAGCCTACCTGAGGGCAGCTGGGCCAGGTGCTTGTAGGCCAGATGCAGGTTCTCCCGGCAGAGTGGCTGGGGGTCATTCAGCAGGAAGGACAGGGCCAGGATGACACCGTGCTCTAGAAAGCCATCCCTGGGGAGGACAGAGTGGATTAGATGTAACTAAGAACATGTGCGCTGGTAGGCTCCTTGCCTTCCATGTGGAAGACTCAAGTTGAATTCCCAGTCAGTGCACCTCATGCACAGCCACCACCCATCTGTCAGTGTCAGGCTTGTGTGTCGCAATGATGCTGAACAGGTTTCAGCAGAGCTTCCAGGGTAAGACAGACTAGAAAGAAAGTCCTAGTCATCTACTTCCAAATATCAGCCAATAAAAACTCTATGGATCACGATGATCTGATCCCCAAATAATAATGAGCATGGCACAGGACCAGTCAGCATTTCGTTCCATTGTGCCTGGGGTCTCCATGAATCGCAGCCAACTCTACAGGAGCCAACAACACCCACAAGAACATGTAACTCTCAAGTCCTGGCAAGATCAAGTAAGAACCAAGAGTTAACCGCCCCCACCCCTTGCTGGCTGGTGCCGACAATACTCCTCTGACTCCATGAAAGACAAAGGCCAGAGGTGGACAGAACCTGACAGAGTTGACAGAATATGGACAACAGGTGACCGAATAGTGCAAAGTGGTGACAGGAGTGTGACCAAGCTTTGCATTCAACCAGCTCGGCCCCTTCCTAACTGGGACTCAGACTTGGGCTATTTGTGTCCCTGGCACTTATTTTCACCTTCTGAGCCTCAGTCCCATCATTTGCAAAATGGCTATAGGGCAGCAGAAGCTCATAACCAGCCTGCCTTGATCTGCCAGGCTGAGCTCACCACCCGTCTCCACCTGCTGGACACACACACACACTGCAGCTCCAGGAAGGTGGGCACAGCCACCTGGGCCCTGCAGCCCCTCCCTGTTCTCTTCTCCAGGCTGAGGCATGAGCTTGCCAGCAGTCAGCAGCTTGCCCCAAACCTATGTCTACCTTTTATTCTTGTTGTCATAGTTACATGGTGTCATGGATTGTGTCCCCCAAAAAATGTGTGTATCAATTTGGTTGGGCCATGATTCCCAGTATTGTGTGGTTGTCCTCCATTTTGTGATTGTAATTTTATGTTAAAGAGGATTAGGTTGGGATTGTAACACTCTTACTAAGGTCACATCCCTGATCCAATGTAAAGGGAGTTTCCCTGGGGTGTGGCCTATACCACCTTTTATCTATAAGAGATAAAAGGAAAGGGAAGCAAGCAGAGAGTTGGGGACTTCATACCACCAAGAAAGCAGTGCCGGGAGCAGAGCGCATCCTTTGGACTTGAGATTCCTGCACAGAGAAGCTCCTAGTCCAGGGGAAGATTGACAAGGACCTTCCTCCAGAGCCGACAGAGAAAGCCTTCCCCTGGAGCTGATGCCTGAACTTAAACTACTAAACTACTAGACTGTGACAGAATAAATTTTTCTTTGTTAAAGGCATCCACTTGTGGTATTTCTGTTACAGCAGCACTAGATGACTAAGACACATGGTTGTTGTTGGCTGCCCTCCAGTTGGCCTGACTCATGGTGACCCCATGTACAATGTGATCGGACTGTTGTGATCCATAGGGTTTTCATTGGCTGCTTTTGGGAAGCAGATCTTCAGACCTTTTTCCATAGTCCCTCTTAGTCTGGAAGCTAGCCTGTTCAGCATGATAGCAACACACAAGCCCACACTGACAGACAGGTGGTAGCTGTGCATGAGGTGCACTGGCCAGGAATCAAATCCAGGTCTCCCGCATGGAAGGAGAGAATTCTACCACTGAACCACCAGTGCCTCATGGACACACCTCACACACATTACACATTGAATTCCTGCCTCATGAGGCAGGGACTAATGACATTGAGGCACGTGAAGCTCAGGGCATGGCAGAGCTGGGCAACTTCGGGTTTAAGGAGACACCCTGGCACCCTTGAAATGTTTTGAAACTTCTCTGAACAGGTGTATATGTTTACACCAAACAAGCCTGCAGACCATCCCCATCCTGCCCTGTGTGGTGTTCTTCCTGCTGTCTGGGCAGTTGGACACCGGGCCACGGAGGCTTGGGCAGGGCCTGAGGGTATTCTTGAGTTTTGGTTCTGTTTTTAATACAAAGTAAAACTAGGGATCCCAGGTGAAGAGGAGGAACTGAGCTGGAAGTTCTTCTACCCACCCCCAACCCCAGCCCCCAACTTCTAGCCAAAACAAAAACAGAGGAAATATTTTCTAAGTATAAAATGCATAAAACCAGTTGCCATTGAGTCAACTCCAACTCGTGTCAACCCCATGTGTGTCAGAGTAGAACTGTGCTTCATAGGGTTTTCAGTGGTTGATTTTTTGGGAGTAGATCGCCATGCCTTTCTTCTGAGGTACCTATGGGTGAACTCGAACTGCCAACCTTTGGGCTAGCGGCTGAATTCATTCACTGTTTGCACCACCCTGAGGCTCTGTAAAACACATAGCTATGCTTGAACAGGAAAGGGACATTTCCAGGGGCCAGAAACTAAGAAGAACCTTGTATTCTTTTTTTTTTTTTTTTTTTAATTTTATTTTATTGTTGTACTTTAAGTGAAAGTTTACAATTCAAGTTAGTCTCTCATACAAAAATTTATACATACATTGTTATGTGACCCTAATTGCTCTCCCTATAGTGTGACAGCACATTCCTCCTTTCCACCCGATTTCTGTGTCCATTCAACCAGCTCCTGACCCTCTCTGCCTTCTCATCTCACCTCCGGACAGGAGCTGCCCATTTAGTCTCATGTATCTACTTGAGCTAAGAAGCACACTCTTCACAAGTATCATTTTATGTCCCATAGTCCAGTCTAATCTCTGACTGGAGTTGGCCTCAGGAATGGTTTTAGTGCTGGGTTGACAGAGAGTCTGGGGGCCATGCTCTCTGGGGTTCCTCCAGTCTCAGTCAGACCATTAAGTCTGGTCTTTTCACTAGAATTTGAGTTCTGCAACCTACTTTTCTCCTGCTCCAACAGGGACTCTTTATTGTGTTCCCCGTAAGGGCAGTCATTGGTGGTAGCCGGGCACTATCTAATTATTCTGGTCTCAGGCTATTGCAGTCACTGGTTTATGTGGCCCTTTCTGTCTCTTGGGCTAATGCTTTCCTTATGACTTTGGTGTTCTTCATTCTCCTTTACCCTAGGTGGGTTGGGGCCAATTGATGCATCTTAGATGGCCACTCACTAGCTTTTAAGACCCCAGACACCACTCACCAAAGTAGAACCTTAGCATTCTTGAAGTCGGTGGGAGTTGAGGCCCCCAGCCCAGACCAGATGTGTACTACTGGTTGGCGTTTTAACACCCACATAAGGGAAGGAGCCACAGGCCCTGGTGAGAGTCTGGAAGGGAGAACTGGGCTCTCTCCATAAAAAGCCAAAAGCTGGGAAAGGCAAAATTGTTGCAGGTGTGAGGTCTGAACTTTCTTTCCACCTTCAAAGTGGGAAATTTAGAGCCAGAAGTGAACATAAAAACTGGCCTGGGGCACAGAGGCAACCCACAGCTCCCCACAGTGAGGCTGGGCTGGCCCAAGACCAGCACTACTGCCAACAACTCAGTGCACTCAAGATCATTCGGGGCATACCACGTGTGGGAGGGCGATGAGAAGGCCGGCACTGATTCACAGAGCTGGTACCCACCTGCCCACATTATGGGTCGCCATGATGTAGAACACCTCAGTGGTCTTGATCCGCACCATGTGGTCACCATCCTTCAGCAGAGCCTTCAGGCTCTCCAGGCAGCCTACAGAGCAGAAACACCTTTGAACGATGACTGTCGGGGAAATTAACTCACCCTGAAGACAGCAGGTGAGCCCACCTCATGGGCTGCCGGAGCATCCTGTCTGACCATACCTCAGAATCACTGGGCAACGCTCTGTATGTGGGTGCACCCGCTCCAGGCAACGCCTCATGAACCCCACAAGGTCTCGCACTCTCCACCAGGGCCTTCTCATGCAGGTGGCCTTGGGGCTAACAACACAGCCTCTGCATTGGAGACCCGGGGTCAAACTGCACCCCTGCCCCAACCTAGTCACATGACCTGGAGCAGGTTACACCTAGGGTTGCCAGATTTAGCAAATAAAAATCCTGCTTTATTCAGCGATACAAATAGACACATGTACACCAGTGTTCACTGCAGCACTATTTACAATAGCCAAAAAGTGGAAATAGTCCAAGTGTCCATCCACAGATGATTGGATCAACAAAATGTGGTATATACATGCAATGGAATATTACTTGGCCATAAAGAGAAATGAAGTCCTGATACATGCTACAACATGAATGAACGTTAAAAACATCATGCTGAGTGAAGTCAGCCACAAAAGGACAAATATCGTTATGATCCCACTTAATGAAGTATCTAGAACAGGCAAATGCATAGAGACAAAAGTTCATTAGTGGTTACCAGGGGCAGGTGGGAGGGAGAAAGGGGAGTCATTGCCTAGGAAGCATTAAGTATCTGTTTATGGTGACGGGAAATTTGGCAATGGATGCTGGTGATAATTGTACAACATGATTAACGTAATTGTTGTCACTGAATTGTACGTGTGAAAAAGTTGAATTGGTGAAAAAAAAATCCTGCTTTATTCATTTATCTGGCAACCCTGAACTCATAGCCCATCTCAGAGACTGGGTTTTCTTATCTGTCACTAAGGATGCTCCCTACCCTATGGTGGCTGCTTTGAGGACTAAGCTAACACAGGCACCATACATGGAGGTGCTTGGCCCATCATCAGCTCATTATATGGCAGCTCTCATTGCTGAAGTACCACCAGTGCCCATGGATCCCATGAGGACACCGCCTTCTTCCAGTTAAGGCTGGTCTGAGCACAGTGCTCTCTGAAAGGTATGCTGGTGGCCTCAAACTCCCTCAGCTCTTGCTTTGATGATGGCGAATGTGGGAGGCAAGGGCATGGCTCCAGTGGGGCACAGGTCCACCTTTCATGACAGCCTTGTGGATGCACCAGACAGGCAGGGCTGTTTCCTAGACCGGTGGCCAACAGTAGCAGATGGGCTGCTATGGCTCTGGGGCAGGTGTCCAGGCAAGGACAGATTGACTGTCTGGGAGGGACACAGTGCAGGGAGAGACGGTGGGACTAGACCACCTCATGCCTCTCTGCCCCATTGGGGCCTCACCTATCTTGATGGCCTCATAGACATGTTCGGGGTCATGCATGAGGTCACACAGTGCCATGAGGGCTTTCTGCCTCGTCTGGAGGTCCTCCGACTGCAGCTCCTCATTCAGCTTGGGCAGGGCCCGGCAGCCATAGGCAATGGCAGCTTGGGTGGGGTTGACGTCAGGGGGCAGGTACATGGAGATTCGGGCGTGGGCCATCTTTCCAGGCTGGAAGAGGGCGACTCTGTAGCTTTCAAAACGAAGCTCTGCAGAAGCCACTGAATAAAGAACCAAAAAAAGATGTCATTACTACTATTGTGATTTAGAAGTCTCTTCTCATTTGGTCCTCAAAACTCTCTGTGTGTGCAGGTGGGTGGGCATTTTTACTCCCATTTTACAGCTGGACAAACTGAGGTTGAGAGTGATTAAGGGAGTAGCCCAGGGTCACAGTGCGGGTAAGTCGCAGCCCATGCTGCAGACTCCAGTGCTTAAACCACTGATACTTTGCAGGCTGGGCCGTCAGTCATGAGCACTGAAAGGAACTAAACAAATCAAACACATATTAAGGCAGTCACCACGTTCAGTTATTATATCCTCAATGGTATTGCTAGGCGGATGCTGGGGGTGCAGACTGCACCCAGTGAACACTGTCAGAGGAGGTGATACCAAAATGACTGTCTATAAAATTTTTGTGCAGTGTTTCCACAGAAATTCATTATTTTTTATAAAAATAACCCTGTAGATAGTTATAACAACAAAAGCATTTTTCGTAAGCCCAGCTTACATGTATCAATATACCTATAAGGCCAAAACTCTATGCTAATTGACTTTTTGAACCTTCTAATGCACTCTGGTCAGAGCTATCATTATTACCCAATTACAGTGATGCTTTGAATCACGATTTCATCTGCATGCACTACAAGCAGATGCTGTTGTTTTCAGTGCTGCCAGTGTTTTTAGAGTCACTGATTTTGTCAAATTTTCTGGTGTTTTAGCTACAATATTGTGGTAATTAGTATTTGTGAACCTATATCAATAACTTTTTTTAGAATAAAGTGGTAATTAAAGGAAAAGAAGGAGTGATATGTGGGAATTACAATTTATGAGTAACATTAGTACAAAAAACATTTCTAAGGATTCTGTATGGTCTGGTATCTGAGGAGGTTCATGGTGGAGGGTGACACCAACCCTAATGACACCACTGCTTATCCTGGGCCAGCAATATCTAGTAGCTCACTCAGTTACCCCATAAGGAGGAACTTGCATTATCCCTGTTTTACAAATGAGGAAACCGGGGCTGGGGCCAAGGAGATTGCCAGGGGGACAGAACTGCTAAGGATGGAAGCCAACACTCAAATCCAGGTCATGTGCATTCACCTACAAGGGACCCACAGTCAGATGGCTCTGACCCATCCACAGGTTAGAGGAAGGATCCTCCAGGCGGTGCAAACGGTGAACGCTCTCTGGCTGCAAATCAAAACACTGGAGGTTTGAGTCCACCCAGAAGCACCTCAGAAGAAAGGCCTGCCGATCTACTGAAAAGCAGCCATTGAAAACTCTGTGTAGCAGTTTTACTCTTGTACACACGGGGTCACTGGGTGTCAGAGTTGACTTGAGGACAGTGGGTTTGGTTTAAGGTTAAATGGTGATTTATTTAAAACCTGGCCCCAGATCCAGGCCATGTGGAATCAAACCTCGCTGTGTGGCCCTTGGCGGGTTACTTCCTCTGTGTCTTTCTGCAGCTGTAAAGGTGCCGTGAGAATAGCGCGTTGCTGTATTAATTGACCCACATGAGCCTGACACACAGGGCTCCAGATATGCCAGCAGCCATGGTTCTGTTGTTGCTCCCGCGTACAGAGAGGCAGCGACAGTCCCAGCTCCGTAAGAGGAGAGGGGCAGACACCAGGCGACAGTGGAGGAAAGGGGCTGAGCTGGTGGCAGGGGGCGGGGGTGGTGGTGACGCGGCCATTTCTAGCCCGGGCGTCTTCTCCCTGAGGGGAACGGTGGGCGCCGGGGGCTTGGCCTGCCCCTTCCAGGGGGCGTGGGCTGCAGGAGTCTGGCTGCTTGCTGAGGAGCGAGAGTGACTTGGTCCCCATGTGAGCCAGACTGGATGGGTCTGGGGCGGGGGGGGGGGGGGCCCTGCCCGCCGCCGCCGCCGCCGCCGCCACCTCACCTGCCTTCTCGCACGCTGTCTGCTGCGCTGGCCTGCCAGACGCGCGCCGGTTGCCAGACGACCCGGTTGCTAGGCGACGCCATCGACGCCCACTGCGCAGGCGCGAAGAGACCCCAGGGCCCGGCCAGTTGCAAAGGCTGAACAATGATGCTTCCCAAGGGTGATGTTAGGAACCGAGGCGGCCCTGGGCATAAAAGGGTTCTGTTAGTGGGAAAGACGGGAACGGAAGTGACTTCGCTGTACAGGGCACTTTGCATGCCTTCATCTTCAGAGGAAATCCAAGAGGTGGTATATTATCCCATTTAGGAGGAGAACCTCAGAGAGATTAAGATGTTGTTCTTAGTTGCCGTAGAGTCAGCTCCATCTCCTGGTGACCCCATGGACAACAGAACAAAACATTTCCTGGCCCTGCACCATCTTTATAATGGTTGGTATGTTTGAGTCCATTGTTGTGGCTATCGTGTCACACCATCTCACTGAGGGTTTCCCTCGTCTTTGCCGACCCTCTATCAACTGATGTCCTTTTCTATACATTGGTGTTTCCTGATGACATGTTCAAGGTAAGGAAGTTGAAGTCTCGACACCCTTGCTTCTAAGGAGTATTCGGGTTGTATTTATTCTAAGACTGATTTGTTCATTCTTCTGTCTTCCTTTTTCATTGTCCAGCTTTCTCATGCACATGATGCAATTGAAAAGACTATGGCTTGGGTCAGGCACACATTAGTCATCAAAGTAACATCTTTGCTTTTTACAACTTTAAAGAAGCCTTTTGCAGCAGATTTGCCCAATGCAAATACATAGTTTGAATTCTTGACTGCTGCTTCTGTGGGTGTTGATTCAATTCAATTTCTTTGCCACTTATCATGATGCTGTTTACCAGCCCACTTGTGAACAGAGATTAAGTAGCTTCCCCTAAACCATACAGGCCCAAACCCAGGACTGCCCAGCTCTGCCTCTGCCCAGAACCTTGCTCTGTACGGTGACTGCCTGGCAATGACTCAGGTCAGCCCCCTGTGGTGGATCTAACACACTGCTGGCCCAAGTCATTGTTCTCAAAAGCACTCAAGCCAAGCCACTCCCTGTGTAAAGTCCTCCTGTGGCTCCCTACTTGGCTCAGAACAGAATCCAAACTCCTGGCCTGTGGGTTAAGGCGCTGGGTGCCAGGGCATTCTGTACCCTCTCCACTACCTCCAACATGGTGGACTCTGTCTTAATCCTCGCCCCCTGGGCTGCCCGTAACACTACCCACCTCTTTATCTTTCAGGATAAAACTTGGTGGACACTTCTTCCATGAAAGCTTCCTTCTCCCCAAATCCAAAGTAGTAAGTGATCCCAAAGCCTAACTACCCCATTGGCACACTCCCCTCCCCTAATCCCCTATTTACTTCTGTTGCTCTCAACAAACTCTAACTTCCTTCAGGGTAAAGACCATGTCTGTCTTGTTTACTTGCCTCCCAGTGCCAGGCATATACCAGCAAGCTTTCAGTAAGTGTGGTGAACGGGCATCAGTGGTGCAGTGGCAGAATTCTCACCTTCCATGCAGAAGACTCTGGTTTGATTCCTGGCCAGTGCACCTCATGGAAAGCCACCACCCATCTGTCAGTGGAGCTAGCATGTTGCTATGATGCTGAACAGGTTTCAGCAGAGCTTCCAGACTAAGATGGACTAGGAAGAAAGGCCTGGCGAGCTACTTCCCAAAATCAGCCAGTGAAAATCCTATGGGTCATAACTATCCAATCCACAACTGATCATGGGATGGCACAGGAATGGGCAGCATTTCATTCCATTGTGCATGGGGTGGCCATGAGTCAAGGGTGACTCAATGGCAGCTAATAACAACAACAGTGAATGGTTAACGGACTTGAATCAAGTTTTACAATTTACAAATCACTTCCACCATCTCATGTAATCCTCACAACAATTCCTTGAAGTGGATAGTTGAGTCCATTTTATAGCTGAGTAAACTGAGACATAAGAGATAGAGCAGCTCACCTAAATTCACTCCAAGGCCTGAGTCCTTAGCCAAAATTTGCCCCCTCTCCCCCAACCATTGTCCTTCAAAGGACCAAGTCCTCAATCCTAAAAAGCATCCTCGCTTTTTTGGGAAAGTAGTGTCAAGAGCACTGGACTAGGAGTCAAGAAATCAGAGTTCCAATTCTAGTTCTAACTCATCATTTTGGATGTTGAGCCTTAGTATCCTTGACTCTGAAATAAGGGAGCTGAGTTAAGTAGGTTCTCAAAACTAAAACTAAGTACCCCCAACCTATCAGAATCTGGTTATGTAGTCTTACAAGGCCCTCTGGAAGCCATCTAGCTCCACAGGCCTCACTTTCCAAACAGAGAAACTATAGGTCAGAGGAGCTCACTGACTTGCAGGTCAACTTTTTAACAGTCATTAATTAAGGAAATTAATTTTATAATGAGAGTTCTCGAAGCCAAAAAAAAAAAAAAAAAACAAACCTGTCACTGCGAGTCGATTCCAACTCATAGTGACCCTACAGGACAGAGTAGAACTGCCCCATAGGGCTTCCAAGGAGTGGCTGGTGGCTTCGAACTGCCGACCTTTTGGTTAGCAGCCAAACACTTAACACTATTCAGACACCATTAGATTCAGAACTACGCAGACTAAGGCCAGAGGACGGTAGGCAAGTAAATCTCATATGCTGCAGTGGGCTTGACTCCATCAACCTCCAACCCTCCAGCAAGAGCTTTTCTGCCCAATCAGAGAGGAGAAGGAGGCATCTGTGGGACTGACCCAAAGAAGTAAAGCACCCAACATATTACCAGAGCAATCTGGGAAGGGCCAGAGATGGAGATGTTTTGTATTCTCTGTGTTCCAAATGGCTTATTTTCATTTTGGTTGTTTATTGAATAGGCAATACGTCACGTAGAGGAAAATTTTAAAAGTATGCAAGTGAAACATTTCCTTCCCTCCATGGTCCTCAGTCAACAGCTCCCTGAGGCAACAACTGGTATCTTTCCAGAGAGAAAGCTAAGCTTGTTGAAGCAACCATAATTCACCTACTTTTTACAACCTCCATCCATCTGTTGTACTGTGGTGGTTGCATGTTGATACGATGCTAGAAGCTAGGCCATCAGTATTTCAAACAGAGTCACCCATGGCAGACAGGTTTCAGCAGCAGTTCCAGACTAAGACAGACTAGGAAGAAAAGCCTGGCAAACTATTTCTGAAAATTAACCAATGAAAGCCTTATGGATCGCAACAGAACATTGTCCAACTCACTTGCTTTGGACACATCATCAGGAGGAATCACTTGCTGGAGAAGGACATCACGTTTGGTGAAGTAGAGGGCCAGCAAGGGCAAGGGAGACCCTTGGTGAGATGAATTGGCACAAGAGCCAAAACAATGGACTTGAATATGCTGTCGATGGTGAGGATGGTGCAGGACCAGGCAACATTTTGTTCTGTTGTCCATAAGATCACCATGAGTTGGAGGTGACTCGCAGCTAACAACAACTTTTTACAAATACTGTCATACTGTAAACACTGTTCTCCACCTTCCATTTTTTAATTTCATATTAATTCCCTAACTAAACAAATTGAGCACCTACTATGTGCAGGCACCATTCTGGCAATGAATATCAATGAACTAACAGACAGAAATCCCTGCTCTCTGTGCTCCCAATGGAGGGATGTAGGCAATAAACAAAAAATAATTACATAAACTGTTAGAAAAGAGTAAGTGCCTGGGAGAAGCAGAGCAGAAAAGGTTAGGTGGAGGATGCAATTGTATATAGAGTGGTCAGGGGAGGCCTCATGTCGAGGTGACATTTGAGCAAACTGGCAGGTGGTGGAGGGAGCTATGTGGGCACCTGGGGGAAGAGCATTCCAGGCCGATGGCACAGCCAGTGCACTCTGCGCCTGGCCAGCATGTTGGACAAGCAGCAAAGAGACCAGTGAAACTGGAGTGGTGTGGGAAGAAGCAGTAGACCAGGCAGGAGAGGAAATGGGGAGGGCGGGGTGGTCGAATCACTTGGGGCCTCTTGGGCCATTGCACGGACTTTGAAAATCTGAGAGCAGTGAAGGGGCACTGGAGGGTTGGTGCCAAGAACTGGCATCATCTGATCTGTTTCAGCAGGATCACTGGGGCTGCTGCCTTTGGAATAAGATAAGAGCAAGGGTGGAAGCAGGGCGACCAGATAAGAGGCGAGAAGACAGTGGCCTGGCCCAAGGTGATACCAGTGCAAGTAGGGAAGACAGAGGATTCTGGACAAATTTGGAAGGTAGAACCTACAGGATTTACTGGAGGAGCAGATACAGAGAAGCTCGAAATAGATGCCCAGAAAAAAATCATATTTAATATATTATGAAAATAGATACTTAAACGTTTCTCCGTATTATCTGAAGCCACCACCACTCCCATCCATGGGGGTAGCCAGCGCGGGCCACGTGCGCGCGGCTCCCTAAGGCCCTCCCGCCCAGACCCCGCCCCGGGCCAAGGCCCCACCCTCTGGCCGTCCTGGCCAGGATTACTTCCCGCCTTTCCGGCACCGCCCTCGTTGCCAAGGTAATCGCAAGGCCAAGAATCTCTCCATTGGCAGTCCCTCCCAGGCTACACCTCCGTACTCCAGGGCCTAGTCAACCGCTCGCCACTCCGGTGAGGCGTTTGTTGCCATGGTGATCTCCTTCGCAAACCGCGTGCTCGAGTCTCTCCAAGATCATTCCCGCCCAGACACCGCCCCTTAGACTAGGCCCCACCCAATGGCCGCCCCAGCCCCCGCCCACCGCTCGCCTACCCGACACCGCCCTTATTGCCATGGTGATCACCTCTGCAGCCGCATGCGCGAATCTCCGTGCTATCAAGCCCCGCTCAATGCCCGCCGGCCCCGCGTGGGCCTCGTTCTCATGGTGATCGGCGCCGCAGGCTGAGCTAGGCCAAGCCGCGCAGAGCCTAGAACACCCGCAGCCGCCGCAGCCGCCGGAGCCGCCGCAGCCGCCGCAGAGAGTGAGTCCACCTAGCCTCCGCCGGCCCCATGGCCCGCCCCTCCCAGAACCTGGACGTAGCCCACGGCCTTCTGTCCTGGGGCCCATCCCGGGCATCAGGCCTGGTCCGGGAGGAGGGCAGCGGTGGAGGACCACACCCTGGGCCTGGGTCAAGGCCACCCTGGGGCGGCGGGGGCGCAGGAGAAGAAGCCTTCCATGGGCGCGAGGGCTCGGCACTGGGCGGGGCTGCGGATGCGCGGGGCAAGGCCCCCTGGCGGGCCAGGACCTTAAGTTTCTAGGGACTCAAGGCGGGTCCCTCCTCACCCTGCCTCTACTACACGGGCCGGATGTGTAGCCCGTGTTTTGTGCCAAGCTTACCCGCGAGGTTAACTCAGAGAGGGCCCCTCTGGTAGAACGCTTGTCAGAAGGATGCAGGTCCCTGACTGGGCAGGCCTGCAAATGAGAGAGGTGACCTGCCTTCCTGTGTTAGATGGCTTTGCTTGGCGCTCCTGGTGGAGAAGGAGTTGTGGATCTGGTTGAAAAGTGGTGAAAAGTTAGCTGTGAACCAGGGCAGTGGGTTCCCAAGCATTTGGGCAGCTGCCTAACTCTTTCCCCTGGTCCACAGGACTTCGGAAGGATGAGGTCCTCCGTGAGGCCATTGGGGCCGCCTGTGAGCCGGGATCGCATCATCGTCAGCTTCCCTAAGGTAGAGAATCATTGTGTTTGGCTGAGGTCAAGTGGGCCCACAACTCGTGGCAACCCCATGCACAACAGAACTAAACACTGCCCAGTCCTGTACCATCCCCATGATCGGTTGGGGATCAGACCATTGTGATCCATAGGTTTTCACTGGCTGATTGTCAGAAGTAGCTCTTCATGTCTTTCTGCCTAGTCCATCTTAGTCTGGAAGCTCCCCTGAAGCCTTTTCAACATCATAGCTACATGCAAGCCTCCAGTGACAGAAGGGTAGTAGCTTCCCATGAGGTACAATGGTCAGGAATCGAACCCAGGTCTCCTGCATGGAAGGCAGGAATTCTACCATTGCAACCCCACTGCCTCCGAGTCACTAGGCCAACCCTTTATGTCAGCACTATTTTCCTGACACCTCATCCACACCCAACTTTCCCTGACCAGTACTACCACTGGCAGATAAAGCCGGTGGATCAGGGAGGTCTGTCCCTCATGAGGAGTCCCTAGATAGTGCAGATGGTTAACACACTCAGCTTAACCAAAAGGTTGGAGGTTGGGTCTACCCAGAGGCATCTCAGAAGGAAGGCCTGGAGATCTACTTCCAAAAAACCAGTCATTGAAAATCCTATGGTGCACAGTTCTACTCTGACACACATAGGGTCATCATGAGTCAGGGTTGACTCCATGACAGTTGGTATTGGTTCTCACCGCTCATGGACAGACCCTGGGGACTTACCAGACTTCTCCTTGAGAAGCTGGGAGACCGTGTTGACTGGTGCATGGTAGGCCAGCATGTTAATGGCATCAGCAGGAGCCACTTTGGCATCAGACAGTCCTGGGTGTGAATCCTGACTCCACCACTGAGCTTGACTGCTGTGGGTAAGTGACTCAGCCTGTTGGAGCCTCTGTTACATTAAGATAATTCCACTTACATTGTGTGTTTGCTTTACAGGGGTACACTTACAGTAGTTGTCACTATTGTTCTCATTATTATTATTACCTTTGTCAAAACAGCAAGGACCCTGGGTGGCACAGTTTGTGCTCAACTCCTAACCGCAGAAGAAAGGCCTGGCAATCTGCTTCTGTAAAGATTATAGCCAAGAAAACCCTATGGAGCAGTTCCACTCTGTAACACATGGGGTCACCATGAGTCGGAATCAACCTGATAGCAACTAACAACAACAATCAAAATAGCACTCCAGTTTCCTGACCCCAAAACCAGGGCTCTCCGCCCTTGCCATTCTGCCTCTGTTCCTGCTGAAAACTCACAGCTGTCTTCTGGCTGTCTTAAAATCCAGTATTGATTGCTGTGGGTGATGCACATCAGTACAAGTCCATAGGGGCTGGTGGGACAGTGCTCACCAGCATTGCAGATGTTCTGCCCCCAGCACCCACCATTCCCTGTCTAGGAATGTATCCTGCAGACATCCTGGCACGCACGGGAAATGCACGGCACAGTGTGTAAGAGCAGATCGGACACAACACAAATGTCCTCCAAGGGGGCTTCTCAAACAGTGGAGTGTAGATGTGCCGAGAATGGGTACCTCATGGTGCTGATGTACAGCATGGGGCCAATGTGAACTGCTAAGTAAAGACACAAGGATGGAGCTACGCATAGTAAAGAGTATGTAGCACGCCCCTAGGTGTGCAAAAAAGGAGAGGGAGAAAAGAAATGTGGGTTTGTCTATATGTGCATAAAACTTCTCTGGGAGGACATGTAACGGCTGCTGTTGAGTTGTCTCTGACTCAGTGACCTGGAGTCAGAGTAGAACTGTGCTCCATGGGGTGCCTCCCAGGACATTTCCTAGGCACATACATACAAAACCATTGCTGCCCAGTTGATCAACTCACAGTGATCCCTTGTGCGTCAGAGTAGGGTTTTCAGTGGCTGATTTTTCAGAAGTAGATAGTGGCTGATTTTTTGGAAGTAGATAACCAGGCCTTTCTCTGAGACACCTCTGGGTAGACTCAAACTGCCAACTTTTCAGTTAGCACCTGAGCATGCACAGTGGGCACACCCAGGGACTCTAGCACATACCTGCATATGTACACTTTTAAACAAAATACACTGTTGGCACACCCAGGGCCTCCAGCACATACCTGCATGTGCACACTTTTAAACAAATTTCACCGCACACCCAGGGACTCCAGCCATACATGCATGTGCAAACTTTTAAGCAAAGTTCACCATTCACACACCCAGGGACTCTAGCACATACCTACATATGCACACTTTTTTAAACAAAGTACACCATTGGCACACCCAGGGACTCCAGCACTTACATGCATGTGCACACTGTTAAACAGAGTTCACCATTGGCACACCTGGGGCTCCAGCACATGTACGCATATGCACACTTTTAAACAAAGATGGCTCAGAGACACAGAAGGTATGGGAGGCTAAACAAGCCTTGCAGCCCTGCCTTTCATCTAGCCCCACTGCCTTGAGGAGCCCAAGGCCATCGCATACAGCAAGGGGACAGCCATCCAGGTGGACCAGCCCAGGAGCCCCTGCCTGGGCCCTTTGATCTGGCTTGACCATGCCGCTCCTCTTCCGGACTCCCGAAACCCTGATGTCTCGAGGCCACTCACAAGATAGGGGATGGATGTGGCAGGGGGATTGGGGACAGCATAACAGGGCTGAAGTCACAGGCCACGAATGACCAGTGGAGGCTCGGGTTGGAGGGCAGGCAGGCATGCTGGGGAATCAGGCGCCCCTCACTGCCTGGCTCATGGACAATGTGTCATCCGTCTGTCGCTCTCTTTCCAGTGGTACACGCCTGATGCCTGCCTGCAGCGCAAGGAACACTTCCACGGGCACATCAGTGCAGCCTGTGAGCACAGGGACACAGGCACTGTCGGGTGAGCGTTGGGCCCGGGATGGGCGCGGGGTAGCCCACAGGCAGAGAGAGCTACGTGAATGCGGGAATGACAGAGTGGATAAAGAGCTCCCCGACACAGACGAGGCCATGCGCCCAGTACAGGCCTGACCAGGATTGGGTGTGCTCTGCTTTACTGAACACAACCCGGCACATGGAACACTTGCCGTGTCCACCCCAGACCTCAGCACATGTCCTTTCTTACTCCCCTTGTCACCCTCCCTCTTCAGGGCTCACATAGGTGTTGTGGTAGCATCTGGAACCTTCTCTGGGCCCCCACTTCCACCGCCCCCAGGATGGGCAGGTGCCCCTATGTGCTCCTGTACCCCAAGCACATGTCTTACAAAGGCTGTGTCTCCCTTGTCCCTGACACAGTAACTCCTTGTGACAAGCAGGCACAGGGCCTGCTGTTGCCCCTGTCCGGAGGAGCTCACTGGTATCACACATGTGTGGGGGAGCCAGGCAGAGGTACCATACAGGCCTCGGGGTACACCACTCAGGGTCCCCCCAGCCACACAGAGAGGCAGGCTTGGGGTAGAGTGGCCAGTGTGGCCACGGTCAGAGGTGAGGGCAGTGGCCCTGCAAGTCTGGCATGCTGGTTCTGGGCCAGGTGCTAGGCACATACTATACCCTCCCAACAGCACCAGCACGGGGGGAAACCAAGGCACAGAGGGTCTCTGCTACAAGCCGTCGGAAATACCTCTGCTCCTTCATCTGGGAAGTGGGGTGCAAGACCACCCAGTTAAGAAGAGGACAACCTGGCATAAGGAGACGCAGCCCCTTCATCTAGGAAGAGGGGTCAGGGTAGACACAACCCTTCTTGGGAGGTGGGGTCAGGGCGGACACAGCCCCCTATCTGGGAAGTAGGATCTGGCTGGATACAGCCCCTTCGTCTGAGAAGTGGGTGCAAGGTGGATGCATTCCCTTCATCTGGAAAGTGGGATCAGGGCAGACGCAGCCCCTTCATCTGGGAAGTGGGTTCAGGGCAGATACAGCCCCTTCGTCTGGAAAGTGGGGTCAGGGCAGACGCAGCCCCTTCGTCTGGAAAGTGGGGTCAGGGCGGACACAGCCCCTTTGTCTGGGAAGTGGGGTCAGGGCAGATGCAGTCCCTTCACCTGGGAAGTGGGGTCAGGGCAGACACAGCCCTTCATCTGGGAAGTGGGGTCAGGGCGAACGCAACCCAGCCCTTGCATACTCTCAGGTACGGAACCAATGTAGGTTCCATCCCAGAAAGCTTGTGGGGTGCAAGGCTGTCTCACTGATACCGGCTGCCTGCTGGCCCTCATGTCTGCAGCTCCCTGCACACTGGCTATATTTTCTTGGCTCAGGCACCTGGGCAAGGCTCCAGCCCAGCTGCTCCTGCCTTGACATACGCGTGGCTCTCAGTTACCACGGCCCAGCCGCTATTGTCCCCAGGTCTTGATTCCCAGGACAGGGACTTCAGCCTAGCTGGGGTTAGGTGTGCAGCCCCAGGGGCAGCAGGCCCTCTACCCTCCCCTCTTGGCTGGGATGGGGTAGTCCCACCCAGCACAGGGAGAGCTCAGGGAAGGATGAGCCTGTGAGGGTCTGAATACCTCTCCTGACCTGCTGAGCACCACAATGTTTCTTACAGGCTCAGACTCTCCAAGGTGGTGGTTGTGGGAGACCTCTATGTCGGGAAGACCAGCCTCATCCACAGGTATGTCCCCAGGGTCCCCCGCCCTGCGCCGCTTGCCTGGCACCAGCTGATTGCTCTGCTGTGAGGCAGCGCTCCCAGGTGGAGCTGTGGGGTTGCCTGGAGGCTGTGGGTGGGGAGCCAAGCAAAGCACCCAGGGTCTGGCATCATCTCCCACCCTCAGGGTCCATGGGCACACACCTGCCCTCTCTCAAATAGGCCTAGTCTTTCCCTCACTGTTTCTGAGCTGTGGTGTCTGCTTTCCCAGCCGCTGTGGCCTCTCTCCCCAACTCATTCTCCGTTCTTCTTGGCTGTTCCCTGTTGGTAGACGGTTAGGTGCCTCCTGGTCTCACACTTCTTTGTGAAGCTTCAGTGTGCATTCCTGTGAGGCCACCTCTGATGTCTTCTTCCTCCTCTTACAGGTTCTGTAAGAACATTTTCGACCATGACTACAAGGCCACCATTGGGGTGGACTTTGAGATCGCGCGCTTCGAGATCGCTGGGGTTCCGTACAGCCTCCAGATGTGAGTTGTGGTTATGTCTTGTACGTGGCTCATGGATGTGCTTTCGGAGACTACTAGGGAAGGCATGGAGAGTGGCTCTCAGAGAGCAGAGCCTGGGGGCATGAAACCAGGGCTCCCTAGTGCCTCGAGTCCCTCCATGCTTCCTCATCTTCAGCAGTGGTCTGTCGTGTCATTAGCTCTGGAGAGGATCCTCAAAGCCTGATAAAGCCCCCATCGCTAGATAGGCTCCCCATCTCCCAGGCTCTGGCTCCAGCCCCTCCCCATGAGCCACTGTTTCCCTTGCCTCCTTTAAGAGGTAGAGAGGAGGGAGAGGGTGCATGGGGTGAGTGGGGGGTGTGGTGGAGGCTGCCCTGGCCCTGTCCACAGCCCCTTCCTCAGGCTCCCACCACTCTGCCTCTCTTTCCCTCAGTCTATCTGTTTGTCTTCTTCCTAGACAGACCCCACTTGCCTTGCCTCTCAATGGCCAGGGTCTCCAGCCTCTCCTTTCTGTTTCCCTCAGAGCAGCCCCTTCTTCCGTGGCCTCCCACTTTTCCACCTCATTTGGCATCTGGTGGACTTTTCCTCCTGCTCAAGGCCATTACACACTCCTTCATGGGGACCTGTTCCCCCCACATGCTGCCCTCACCAGGCCTCTGTTCTGACCACCCCCCCCCCGACATCGACATGCTTCCCTCACCAGGTCTCTGTTCTGACCCCCCAGTGTGCTGCCCTCACCAGGCCTCTATTCTGGAGTCCCCCACATGCTGCCCTCACCAGGCCCTGTTCTGACCCGCCCCCACCACGTGCTGCCCTCACCAGGCCTCTGTTCTGGAGTCCCCCACATGCTGCCCTCACCAGGCCCTGTTCTGACCCGCCCCCACCACATGCTGCCCTCACCAGGCCTCTTTTCTAACCGCCCCTTCCACGTGCTGCCCTCACCAGGTCTCTGTTCTGGAGCCCTCCCTGGTGTCACATCTGCTCCCATGGCTCCCAACTCTGTCGTGATAAAGTCTCCAGCTCTGAGGACTCCTAAAGCTTGCAGCGCAGCCCTGAGCCAGATGGCAATATCAGATTCTGCCTGAGGGAGAACACAGGGCCAGAGAAAAGCAGAAGAAGCTGTGGGGACACAGGGCTGGGGGCCCAGAGGCCTAGAGCCAGGGAAGCAGATGGGGGAGGGGGTTCCAGCTCAGGGGAAGATGCATGGCCACATCTAATTAAAGGGCCCACGACAAAATGGTGAGCACTGGCCTGGCTCAGCCTCTCATTGCCATCCCCACCATTGCCCAGGTCATCTTTAGAAAGGAATGAGTTCATGAAAGAACGGAACCTGGGAGTCTTGTGTCAGGATGGGTCACTGGAAAAATTTCAGACAGTTGATGTCCTACTCAGTGCTTAGCCTGAGTCTCCTAGTGTTGGTGTAACAGAAATACAACAAATGAACAGACATTTATTTTCTCACAGTTCAGGAAGCTAGAAGTCCAAATTCAGGGTGCTGGCTTTAGGGGAAAGCTGTCTGTGTCTGTGCTGGGGGAAAATCCTGGTCTCAGCTTCTCTAACATTCTTCTTGGTGTTCCTTGGAGATCTCCATGTGCCATCTATCTTTCCCCCATTAAAACTTGGTTCTGTGCCTAATCTGCTCCTTTTATATCTCAAATGTGATTGGTTTAAAACACACCCTATGCTGAAATGGCCTCATTAACATAACAAAAGTAACTCTGTTCCCAAATGGGATTGCATCTACACCTATACCAAAACCAAAAACTAAACCAACTGCTGTGGAGTCAATTCCGACTCATAGTGGCCCAATAGGACATAGTAGAACTGCCCCGTAGGGTTTCCAAGGAGCAACTGGTGGATTCAAACTGCCAGCCTTTTGGTTAGCAGCCGAGCTCTTAACCACTGTGCCACCAGAGCTCCATCCACACCTATAGGGATTAGGATATACAGCACATATTTTTTGGGGACACATAACACATGGGTTGTCTGCTCTTCAGTTTATTTGCTGACATTTTGATCTGCTGGTTTTGAAAAGACTAGATTTTCAGACTTGGCCCCTACATGCTGGGTGTGCAGGAAGATATCAGCGTGTGCGCCCCTTCTACCTGTGCCCATGACAGACATTACTAATGGATTGCTGCGCCCCCTCCATGGGTCCACGGCACAGCCTCTGAGCCCTTCTCAACCTGGAGCTCAGAGAGCCAGAGCTGACTGTAGAGCTAGAGTTGACTGGTCAGAGCTGGCCTTGTTAGACCTCTCCAGAGATAAGTGTCCCTCCCAGCTGCAGTGTTGAAGGTGAAGGGTGCCCAATCAGATGTAAGCTATTAGCAGACCACAGTGGGGTCCCAGCCAGTTCACAGCCTCCTCCGCAGGGGCTTCATCATCTTCAGGGTGAGCAGTGTCATGGAGCATCTTCTCTGAGCTGCACCCATGTTCATCCAGGCAGTGGGTCCAGGAGGGGATCCCCCATGGGGTACCTTAGGAAGGGGTCCTAAGGAGCTGGGGGGCTGGCTAACAGCAGGTGCATCCTGAAACCCACAAGGCAGGCACGGGCCCTCCAGGTCTGCCCACATGGCCTCCGTGCCTCGGTGGCCTGGACCTCTGTGATGTATCTGCCTGCCCCTCTCTGTGTCCCTTTGTTCTCTCCACTGCACAGCTGGGACACGGCTGGACAGGAGAAGTTCAAGTGCATCGCATCCGCCTACTACCGAGGTGCCCAGGGTGAGTGGTGTGTGCAGAGGGTCTCCAGCTGCATGGGCAGGAGCTCCCGCTGGGTCCTCTGTATGGCACCAGTTCCTGTCCTCTGAGAGCCGCTGGACGAGCACCTGGCCAGTCCTCAGGGGGAGGTGCCCTCTGGCAGCCACAGCCTGAGGGCCCAGTGCGGGGCTCACTTTAAGTCTTCAGCTCAGAGAGACAGATGGGCAGTGCCTTTTCTGAGACCCCAGCCAGGGAGAGCCAAGTTGGCTCCAGGAGGAGATGGGGTAGGCTTGTCCTGTCTTGGCAGGCAGCGGGCTAGGACCTCGCCACACACACCAGAGGAGAGGTGAGAGGTGGGCCAGGGAGGACATGTAGCCCCAGGTGGGGGCTGAGGGGCTCAGTGCCCCACTTCCACTGCCGAGGACACCCCCCTCAGCCCCACCTTCCCAGGAAAAAGGCAGGAATGGATTTCAGTGGGAGATGTGAGAGAAACCAGTCTTAAATTATGAGGCACAGTATGTCACCCAGCTGTTGTTGTTGTTAGGTGCTGTCAAGTCGATTTTGACTCACAGGGACCCTAAGTACAACAGAAGGAGACACTGCTGGGTCCTGCACCATCCTCACAATCATTGCTATGTTTGAGCCCATTGTTGCAGCCACTGCATCAGTCCATCTTGTTAAGGGTCTTCCTCTTTTTCACTGACCCTCTACTTTACCAAGCATGATGTCCTTCTCCAGGGACTGGTCCCTCCTGATAACATGTCCAAAGGTCCAAAGTATGTGAGATAAAGTCTCACCATCCTTGCTTCTAATGAGCATTCTGGCTGCACTTCTTCCAAGACAGATTTGTTCATTCTTCTGGCAGCCTATAGTATATTCAATATTTTCCACCAACACCATAATTCAAAGGCATCAGTTCTTCTTCGGTCTTTTTTATTCATTTTCCAGCTTTTGCATACGTACGAGGTGATTGAAAATATCATGGCATATGTCAGGTGCACCTTAGACCTCAAGGTGACATCTTTGCTTTTTAACGCTTTAAAGAGATTCTTTGCAACAAATTTGCCCAATGCAATACATCATTTGATTTTTTGACTGCTGCTTCCATGGGCATGGATTGTGATCCAAGTAAAATGAAATCCTTGACAAATTCAATATTTTCTCCATTTATCATGATGTTACTTATTGGTCCAGTTGTAAGGATTTTTGGTTTCTTTATGTTGAGGTGTAATCCATGCTGTGGTGTCATCCAGCAGCAGTGTGGAAATCACAGCCTTCTCAGTGAAATACAGACAAAAACAGGGAACCAGCCATGAGCAAGCACTTTAGCTATGTGCTGGCATACCAGCTCTGCTGTGTCCGTTGTCAACCGTGCCTCCTGTGCCCTTTGCCCCTCCTGGCCTCGCCTCCAGAGGGTTACCCTGAGGAAGAATGTGTGTGCGGGCCTGGCACGCATTTGCAAATGCAGCAGTTTTCCACCACCACCACCATCGGGTTCCTCCTTTGTGGCCGTCCTCTGCTAGGCACCCTGGCGGCCCCCAGCCCAGGCGTCAAGAAGGCCCCATCCTGCCCAGCTCACACCTCCAGGGGGCAGCAGAAAGCAGGCCTTTGCCAGGAATGTGGTCTGCATGGGGCTCCCCCAGGACCCCCCCAGGGGCCCAGCACCCTCAGCATCATGGGACTGGGTGGGCCAATGACAGAGGAGCTGGGGAGCATCTCTTGCCCCTCCCTACCCGTTTGCCCAGAACTGTTTCCATAGCAATAGCAGCTGCCATTGAGGGAAAGCCGGCTGCTTCCAACCTGAGCACAGAGCCCTAAGTATCTGCCCTCGGTTAGTCCTTCCAGCAGCCTGAGAGTTAGCGTACCCCAATCACCACTTCACCAGGGGACACTGAGGCCCAAGTCCCCTCAGCCAGAAGCAGCATCTCTGCCACCAAAGCCCTGCACTTCCCACCCACTCATCCTGTCTCCCTGAATTCCATGTGCCTGGACGCCAGTGGGGTCAGGGAGGGTAACCTGGCAGCAGGGGTGGGCCTGCCTCCCCTGTCATTAACAAGCTCTCAGTTTCCCCACATCCAGCAATCATCACGGTGTTCGACCTCTCTGATATGCAGACCCTGGAGCACACCAGGCAAGTCCAGCTCAACAGCCCCCACGGGCCACCACCAGGTCCAGGCAGCCAGCGTCAGCTGATCTCCCCAGCGGCAGCATGAGGACTAGGCACACCATTTGAACCCCACTGTCCACAGACATTTATTGTCCAGTTGCCTTATTGTCACTTGAGATTCGCACCTTTTATATCAGAAGGCAGGGCAGCTCACAGCACACAGCTAGCGTGGTCATGCAGCTGCACTCAGAAGCCTGCGCTCTGTGTGATGCTCTGTGGTCGCCATCTTGAAACTCTTATTTTTTTGAACAAGGGGTCTGGTGTCATCACCATGCACTGGGCCCGTCTGCAGGGACGTGATCTGGTACTCGCTGCCTTGGGCAGAGACCTGGTCTAGACAGCTGGCCGTGTGACTGCTTCTGGGAGGCCATCCTGTATCTGCCTGGGATTGCCCAGCTAATGGGACTAAAGCCCCTGTAAAACCAGTTGCCATCAAGTCAACTCTAACTCATGGCCCCCCCATAAGTGTCAGGGTAGAACTGCACTCTGTAGGGTTTTCAATGGCTGGTTTTTTTGGAAGTAGATTACCAGGCCTTTCTTCCAAAGTGCCTCTGGGTAGATTTGAACCTCCAACCTTTTGGTTGGCAGCCGAGCACGTTCACCATTACACCACCCGGTATACCTCACTGTTGTTTGGGCGTTCATATCCAGGATCTCCCAAGTCCTGTAACGGTGATGGTTCCAGATGATGGATGAGAAGCCCAGCTCTCACCCAGGGTTGCATGGGGCAAAGGCAGCACAAGGGCAGGACGACACAGTCTCCCCTCCCTAACGAGTGCCCTCGCCCACCCAATCCAGCCCAGGCCCTGAGGCTACAGGACCAACATCTGCTCAGCAGCACAGAACGACCCTCCCCCTCCCTCTTGGCTCCCTGCCCCAAGCCCTGGGGAGGGCCTAAGTCTGTAGCCCCACCCCTGGTCTGCCTTGGGCTCCCTGGATGGGTGGTGTCTCTCAGCTGTCTCCTCTCTGTGGTCCAGGCAGTGGCTGGAGGATGTGCTGCGGGAGAACAAGCCAGGCTCCAGTGCCATCTTCCTGGTGGGAACCAAGAAGGATCTTCTGGTGAGCAGGGTGGTGCTGGACCTAAGTTGGCCTTCAGGAACATTTCCTTCAGCTTCCTGCATGACTCGAGAGTGGTGGGGGCCCCAGCAGGCCTGGATGAGGGGTGTTCATTTCACATGGCAGGGCCAGCTAGCACTGGGCTTGCCAAGGACCTTGGGTCTTGTCCAGCAGTAGGGCTGCCCGAGTTGGTACTGGGAGTCAGCGTGGGGAGGGAGGACAGTGTGGCAGGAATCAGGGCCGCCTACCCCGGGGTCTCCCTGCAGAAAGGCCTGGAGCACTGGGTCACGGAGGCCATTTCTGACCGTTTGTTTCTCCCAGTCAGGGGTGGCATGTGCGCAGGCTGAAATAGAGGCTGTGCGCCTGGCCAACGAGATACAGGCCGAGTACTGGGCAGTGTCAGCCAAGACAGGTAAGTCGGGGCCGGGCTGGTACGCCATCATGGGTGCAGGGTCCCTGCAGGCCACGGGAGGTTCTTGTTGTGCCCTCAGCAGCCTGGACTCAGTGCTGGCATCACAGTGGCCTGCTGGGTGCCATGCAGGGCTGTCCTTGCCTAAGAGCAGTCTCCTCGTCCCTAGAAGGAGACTGGGAGGCTCACTTCACGGAGGGGGGTTGGGAATCTCACCCTGTGCCAGCAGACTCTTGAGCACAATCTTCACCGCCACCCAGAGGCAGGTTCTGACCTGTCCCTATGAAGTCCCTTCCAAGGTCACAGGGAGGAAGTGGAAGGCTGGGGTCCCTCACCTATAACCCTCTGCCCCTGGCCTGCAATATGGTGTGACACGCCCAGTACGGTGCCATAATGGGTGCTCCCAGCCCCTCCCTGGGCCCCATCACAGCACTGAGACACCGCCTTTGGTCTCGATCCTCCCACTCCCCATGCAATCCACCCTGACCACACTGGGCCTAGCCACTGCTGACCCTGCCAGGCAGGAAAACAGTGTCTCCAAGCCCCAGTCTCCTCTGAGAAGCATGATGCTGCCCATCTCATTGTACTTTTAATGAAAAAACATGTTTTAAATGACAAAACCCGTATATATCCACTGATGACAAATCAGAAAATGCAGAGAAGTAAAAGCAGACCCTTAAGACCCCAGGATGTTGGGAGTGAAATGAAGTAAATATGCAGTGCTTGGCATACAGTAGGTCCCAGAGGCTCGCCCCAGGGTAGGGGCACAGCAGACATCTGGCCAGGAGTCAGGCAGTGGCAGGAGCACTGGGGTGAGAGTGCTACCTGTGGCCCATGCCAGCTCCTTTACTCCTCCTGACCCACCCTACTCCTTACCAGAGCAGCAGCCACGTTCTCTGAGCTCACTGTGGGCCCAGCAGGACTGCTGTGTACAGCTGTGCAGGTTGCTAGCTGTGCGAGGTCAGTGATGGGGGCTAGAATGCAGCCCACGCCCCAGAGGAGGGTGCTTAGAGGCTCTGTATGGGGGCCGGCAGCACATCAGTCCTTGCAGCCACCAATGGGACAGGTACCGGAAAAGACCATGCTAGCTGGCACGCATCTGTCTTGATCTCCACATGTCCCCACGCCTGGCCCATAGCAGGTGCTCAGTAGCAGTTGTTGGAGGATGGTTGTCAGGATGCTGGGGCCCAAGGCTCACCAGAGATCTGAGGGAACTGTGGGGTCAGGGGTCAGAGCCAGGGGCACTGGAGCCAGGTGGACCACTGGGACATGGACCTGCCCCTCCCACTCCCCAGTCAGCCCCACGTGGCGGGGCTGTGCTCTGGTATGGGTACTGTTGCTGTCAGGGTGCCTTGCGCCCGCTGGCACACATCTAAGGTCATCTGTGGGTGAGGGCGGAGGGGAGTTACCATGCTTCCGCCCACAGGGGAGAACGTGAAGGCGTTGTTCAGCCGTGTGGCTGCCCTGGTATTCGAGCAGTCGGTCCTGTGGGAACTGGAGAGGAGGAGCGGCACCCGGCCCCAGGTCGGCAACGCAAGCCTCATCCGTACGTACCCGCCAAGTGTTCCCCACACTCCCCTGTTGGGTACCCATTTCCTACCTTGCCACCCCACTGTCCTTCTTCCTGTCACCCCCGCCTCACTGCAGCCTCCCAACCCCCACTGCTACGACCACACCTCCCCTGACTCTCCCCATCCTCCGGCAGCCTCCCCGCCCATGTCTTTGCCTACTCTGTTCTGCTCTGTATGCCTCTAGGCTCTTGGCCTGTGCCCAGCTCAGCAAGGCCTGGGACAGTGGGCCTAGGGGCTCAGGAGCCACCAGAGGCACATGGGCCCTGCCTAGTGTCCACTACAGGGGACTTGGTCAACACCACATGATTCTCCCCTCCTTGCAGGAATGGAAGGGAGTCTGCCAGAGGCCCAGGAGAGTGAGAGGCTCTCCAGCCTGGGCTGTTGTTAGCGGGTCCCTGCGCCAGACAACTCCACCTCACACACGCAGGCAGCGCGCCCATGACCGCAGAGGGCAACATGGAGTTCACACACGTCTGCCGCCAGGGGCGAAGGCCTTTCCCCAGCTTCTCCATCACCCACTGTGGAGTCCGGCTCACTACCTCTCTATGGCAGGTCAGAGCCAGGAGGGACCCCACTGGCTCCCCAGGGCCTCACTGCTCGGCCTGTGGGGCACGGCAGGGTTACCTGGAAGGCCACCCACCGGCAGGGTCATCGGACAGTTCCTCCTGTCCTGAGAGGCCTTGGCCTCTGCCCCACATCCCTAGCCTGCATAGACATTGCCCGTCGATTCCAACGCCTTTCCCAGGCCATCCTGTGGTCACTTCCATACCTTTCTCAGTACAGCATGCAGGTGCAGGACATGCCATCATCAGCACTGAGGGAAAACCCACCTGCCACCCTGCCTGTATGCTGCCTTGGGGGTCTTTTTGTCAGATAGGATTTACAATTGTGCCTTGGAGCTTCTTCAGATCCTTGAGCCCCAGCCATCCCTAAGACTGACTCCCAGGGTGGCTATGGGCCAGCCCTGCCCCCAGCAGAAGGCGAACAAGCAGGGCTCCCAGGATCCTCCGGTGCCTCACGATCCCTGGGGCCTGCACTTGGGCCTCCCGGACACTGACTATATGTTGGCCATGCTGCACAGTGGCCCAAGGGTGACACTGTCCACTTAGCCTCTGCAGCTGTAACCCCAACTCCTGTGTGGCTGTAGGACCCAGTCTCCGGGGCTGCTGCTCACAAGTGTCCTCCCCGCCCCTCTCTCCAGAGGTCCTGAGACACGGCCAGCAGGACCCACCCCTGCAAAGATAAGGGCCAGGGAACAAAGGAGCGTTGGATCATGTCTCCTAGAACCACTCCAATCCAGGATGCTCCCTCTGTCCACCACTTCCTGCTGCACACCCAGGAAAGGCAGGAGCACCCATGCCTCCCCCAGCTCTGCCCAGAGTGCCTGCACCACAGCTGACATCCTGTGCTCCTGGCCCATCGCGTAACCCTACCCCTCAGTGCTATTAACTGCCCACCTGCCCCACTCAGCCTGCCCTCCTCTGCCACGGGCAGGGGGCCCATCAGGTGTCCCTGTCCCCTTTCATAGACGATGAGGTTTCTGCAGGAAGCTGTTTGGGCAGCGTTTTATCCTGGTGCCCTGAGCGGTACCAGCTGTGTGGTACCCAGTGAATGCCCACCGACTTGGCAAATGTCAGGTGTCCATTCCCCCTTCACTGTGCCTTTAGCTCTATTTTAAAAATTTATATATTTAGAGTCCTTGGGTGGTGCAAACGGAGAATGCACTTGGCTGCTAACCAAAAGGTTGAAGATTCGAGTCTAGCCAGAGGCAACTCGGAAGAAAGGCCTGGCAATTTGCTTCTGAAAAATCAGCGAGTGAAAACTGTATGGAGCACAGTTCTACTCTGACACACATGGGTCATCATAAGTCAGAATCGACTCAATAGCAACTGGTTATTTTTTTAAATATAAATTTAAAACACTTTTAAAAGAATTATGAGGTTATTGTAAACCAGTTAAGCAGTACAAGTGTGTAGCTTACACTGTGTAAGCCCACCCTCAGGCTGTGCTCCTGACGTGAGCACAGCAGGCACTGCTCATGGTTGGCAGGGCTCCCTTTGTACTGTGTTCCTGTTATATAGCCTCATGCATGTTGGCATGTTTGATGGTTGTTTTACCCCATGGCCTCATGCTGCCCGTGCTCTCTGGCAGTCTGCAGTCTTCATGAACCACCCCAGGGCCCTCACAGCCAGCAGCCAAGCTGCCTGGTACTGCAGCAGCTGCACAGCTTCCTTGGTGTGATAGGACTGAGGTTGTTTTCTCCAGCCCCAATGCAGGGCAGTTAAGTGGGGTCCAGCTGTTATCCATCATGGTGGCGCTGCAGTGGCCGCCTGTGCAGGTGCAGCTGCACACTCAGGACTCCCAAGGGGCCCTACAGGGCCTTCTGTGGACTGTGTCCCAGGCCCGGTCCCCTAGACACAGCCATAGGAGGCAGCCGCATCACAGAGTGGAGAGCCAAAGGCCCTCCCTATGGCTCTCCCAGCCGCAGGCCCCAGGATAGGGTACAGGTGACGGGGTCCTGCCCACTGAGCCCAGGCCCCACGATGCTTTGTGTGCACCCACACCTTGGCACATGGTCCTAGATGACACTTGCCTTGTCCCCCACGTCATTGTGGTATCTGGTTCCTGCCACCTTGCCGACACAGGAATGGCCACTTGGGTTTCAGTATTTGGCCTGCATGCAGGGAGGGTGGGCTCTCCAGGCTGGCCGCAGTGGGGAATGCAGGGTGCTCCATCCTCCCCCATTCTCTTCCCTCTGCCCCGTGCAGTGCGGGACCCCTGCAGTGGCAGTGCGCAAGTGCTCCAGAAACCTCACCCTGCCTTCTCTCTCCCAGGGAGCCTTATTTGGTCACAGTAACCCTGTGGGGTGGGTGTCATGACCACCCTGTCCCCCTGAACAGATGAGGGAAGTGAGGCTCAGCAGTAACATGAACGGACAGTCTGAACACCTCCACACCCTGGTCAGTCCTTCATCTCTCTGCCCCCAACCCAGCATGAGGTCTGCTCCCAGTGGGAATCCTGCTCCTTGTATCTGTGGTCCCAGATGTCAGCACCCCCAACAGTCATAAGATCCCAGCATGAGCAGCCCAGTGCTGCAACCCAGAAAGGGAGGGTATTATTAGTGAAAGTACCCACCAACCACGCCTAGCCCCTCCATCCCCAGCAGAGGCAGGAGACAAGCTAATTAATCCCCCCTGCCCTGCTCCCTAGCCCCACAGCCCAGGGGATGAAGGCCCCACAGTGATAAGGACAGAAGGAGGCTTCAGGGCGGGACTCTCAGCCTCCTTCAGTCACGCCCTGGGTTGGTGCTGGAATGAAGAGGAGGCCCTGGGCTCCACTTACATTTCAGCCTGGGGGAGGGCGGCAACCACTCCCAGATGGACCTCACTCTCCCAGGGACTGGTGCCATCTAAGCCGGGAGACCTGAGTTATGGGTAACTGGAACCTAGAGGTGAACACGTTACTTGTGAAGTGTCATTGAGTCAACTCAGACTCATGGCGATATTATGTACAACAGAAGGAAAAATTGCCCAGTCCTCTGCCATCTTCATGATTGTTGGTATGTTTGATTCCATTGTTGTGGCTACCATGTCAATCTGTCTCATTTTCACTGACCCTCTACTTTACCCACCATGACGTTCGCTTCGAGTGATCAGTCTTTCCTGATGATGTGTCCAAAGTAAGTAAGTCCAAGTCTCATCATCCTTTCTTCTAAGGAGTGTTCTGGTTGCATTTCTTCTAAAATTGATTTGTATGTTCTTCTGGCAGTCCACAGTATATTCAGTATTCTTCACCAACACTGTAAGTCAAAGGCATCGATTCTTCGGTCTTCCTCTTTCATTGTCTAGCTTTTGCATGCATATGAAGTAACTGAAAAGACAATGGCTTGGGTGAGGCACACCTTAGTCATCAAAGTGACATCTTTGCTTTTTAACACTTTAAAGAGATCTTTTGCAACAGATTTGCCCAATGCAATATGTCATTTGATTTCTTGACTGCTGCTTCCGTGGGCATTGATTATTGATCCAAGAAGAATGAAATCATTGACAACTTTGATTTCTTCTTCAGAGGTGGACAGAAGTTCAGTTAAATGCACTTGCTCACTCGTTAAGTGTTCCTTGGGGCCTTCTCTCTAACCTGGCCCTCTGCATTCTCCCGTGCACCCATCCCCACAGCCCACGCAGAGGCCAGCAGCAACCCCATCCATGGGTGAGCCAAGGCTGCATGAGGGTCTACCCCCCAGGACACTCAGGCCAGGGTGGGACTGGGAGGCAGCTCTATTCAACCCTTACACCTGGGCCCTGGTGGAGCGAAGAGGTAAAAGAGGCATCCCAGCCCATGGGGTCTGCAGAGGGTACATGCCCACACAGTGGCCCAGGGTGGTGATGGGGAACACCTTCAGAAGGAGAATACAGTGCTGGAAGGGCCCAAAGGGAGAAGAGGCTCAGGGAGACCAGTGGGCCCTCGCCTTGGGCCCTACTTGAGATAAGACACCCCCAGCAGCTCTGTCCAGCAGTGCCAAGGCGCCTCTGCTATCTGCTGTGGCCTCCCAAGTGTTACCTCCCATATGGCCAGGGCATCCCCAAGGGAAGCTGATGGCAGATGGGAAGTGTGGTTGTCACTGCCACCTCCTTTTGCAGCATGGATCCTCCTAGCCCCCACCCTCTCCTCCGGGCACCTCCCCACATCCAGGGCCACCCGCCAGCTGTGTAAGCCCGTGCCCATGCAGTACCAGAGTGGGCACGGTGCACCTGTCCTTGGTTGCTGTCAGCCCCACTCAGCCTACCTGCTCCTCTGCTTCCCCGTCACACCTCCCCTGAGGCCTGCCCACCCAGGCTATAGGGACCCCCCCTCAGCCATCTCCTCACCCTCTTCCTCACTATATGGGGGCTGGCATTCCCTCCCTTGTGGCAGCCCCAGTACAGCACAAAGCCAACCCCAACATCTGCTGGATGGAGAATGGATTGGGGTGACAGCTATGCCCTTAACTCTTGAGCTAAAAGTTCTTTTTTTTTTTAATTACTGTGGTGACTATATACATAATAAAACATACGTCATCTTAACAATTTCTACCTGTACAATTCAGTGATGTTGATCACATTCTTCAGGTTGTGCAACCATTCTCACCATGTTTTTCTGAGTTGTTCTACCACCATTAACATAAAATCAGTGCCCCCTAAGTAAACACTCCCCCTTCACCCCCCCCACACCCCATAGCCATTAACAATCTTCAGTTTCTATATATTTGCTTATTTCATGTAAGTGAGTTCATCATACAGTATTTGTCCTTTTGTGACTAATTTATTTTGCTCAGCATAATGTTTTCCAGGTTTATCCATGTTGTGATATGCATCAGGACTTCATGTCTTTTTACACTGAGTAGTATTC